CGCTTCCCAAGCGGCGCACTATCCAGTGCGCCACCGGGCCGGCCCTAGGGAGCTGTTTTTGCTGATAGGGAGCTTTTTCCTGCTGAGGACTCGGGACCCCCAGAAAAAAAATTCAGCTAAGGGTCTTACACAAATGAGGGTTATTTACAACTAGCTTCAGATGAATATAAAATGTGCTACTCAATTTTAAGCAGAAAAAAATGAAGCATAAATGTTCCTCCAACAAATAAAGCAAGCAATAAAAATATTCTTCAGCTCCATTTGATGGAGAAAGAGGGGGGAGAAAAGGGAGGCAGAAAGAACAAAAAAACGAGTGCAATAGAGAGAGGAAAGAGACAAGGTGAAGAGAGAACACCAGAACTTCTGCCTCCTTCTTTCTTCCTGAAGCCATCACCCAGCATCTGACGGCCATCACTCAAGCCCGTCCTAACCAACATCATGCTTTTCAGAGGCAAACAGATGGTGTCCAGTCCCAGCTCTGTCACTTGCTACCTGTGTGGCCTTGGATAAGTTATTTAACTTCTCTGATTCACAGCTTCCTTATATGTAAATAGGCCTGCCTAAACAGGCCTGGTTACACTTACCCAATCACACTAGGTTTTTCTGAGGACTCCATGAGAACACACATGTCAAGCACATAGTGGTGACAGAAGGGCAGCCTTCCAGATTTGTGCTGTCATTGCCATGCCCATTCCCACTCAGGACGGCCAGCTTCCTTCCTCCTGACAGCAACATGACCTCTGTAAGGGCCCCTGCCCTCTCACGCTTCTTCCAATAACCTGCCCTGTGTCTTGTTCTCTCGGAGGATGCTGACTCAGACGGAATTGTGCAGAAATGACAAAATGTTTTCATGATATGGGGAGGAACATACGTTTTAATCAAAAATTCAATATTGACAGATCTTAATAATGAGATATTAAAAATGCACCTTTAATATTAATTATGTCCAAATGAATACTTACCATATATGTTTAAAACAGAAAGACTAAGCAAACAATTCCACCAAGTGTATGAAATGGAACAGTATCAACAGTTTTGAAGCTTTCTGTGTACTTCCCTAGTCTTCTACTTTTCCTCTCACCCCAGGTTACCACTATCTTGAATTATGTGTTTATCCTTCTCTATTACTTCTTTATAGTTTTACCGTACATGCACCTTTAATCAATATAGTGCTTAATCTCTCACTTTAAAAAATGTTGTACAAATAGAATAATCACAAATGTGGCATTCTATGGTTTTCTTTTTTCACTCAACATTATGTTTCAGAAATTTATCCATGTTATGGCACATTTATTTTCACTGCATATAGTATTCCGCTCTAGGAACAAATCACAATGTATTTATATATTCTGTTTTAGAGATTCAGGGTTTTTTTATATGTTTCTGGTTACATAGTGAAAGAGTTTCTGTATGGTGTATGCCTAGAAGTGAAATTGCTAAGCCGTAGGGTACACAAAGCCAAATTGTTTTCCAAAATGGTTGTACCAATTATAATTCTACCAGCAATGTAGGTAATCTACATTGATATTTTCAGGCTTTTTAAGTTTTGTCAGTCTGTTAAGTGTATTATAGTATTTCACTGTGATTTTAATTTGCGTTCCCCTGATACCAATAGACAACCATTCATATGCTTCTCCCATAAAGTACCTATTAAACTCTTTTGTCTATTTTTCTATTGGGTTATTTGTATTTTTCTTTTTTCTTAATACAGAGTCTCAATTTTTAGAAAAAACTTCTATAGGATAGAACCAGTCAAATTCTAGATTTGCCAATACTTCTATTTGAAATTTGCCCTTTTTTTCATAAACATAAAGATGTTCTGAAAATATAACTTTGCAACATCCCAACCACATTGCAAAACTTCTTGGAAAGGCAAAACTGTCTTTCCAACCACATGCACTGCTTTTACTTTGGAAAATCTGATTTCTGTTAAGCGTATATTCAATTGCTTTGACACTTAGGATTAGAAATGCCTCACCTTCCATCTCAGTGATATCATAATGATGTTTTCGTAAGTTACTGCTCCAGGTTGAAAGGTAGGTGACAATTACTGCCTATTCCCCTTATCCCTTAATGATATATGCCCTATCCAGGCCTTCTTTGTGCCAGTTCCTATATGCACTACACAGCCCCTTCCTCTCCTCCTCCTCAGCCTTACAGTCAAGAAGTCTTGTTGCATGTGCTTTGGACATAATTTGACATTCAGTAAGTACTTGAATTGAGAAATGATCATAATGATACTTTTTATTGAAACAACGAAGATATTAGTGCGTTCATGTTCACAGGTGTTTCATGTGCCTCATCAATGGGCTGTGATTAAGGACTCTGGGTTGACTGAACAGGCCAAGTGCTGTAACTGGCAGATGTTAACAACATAAACTGTGTGCAGCTTTTAAAAGTAGGGTTCTTTTCCTTTCAGGTTCACCGAGCTCCCTCTTTCCGTCTCTCCTTGCACCCCTTTGCCATGTTAACAGCACCCAAAGCAGCAGAATATGCCCGCAAACACAGTAAGCCTCTTTACTTTCATCTGCTTAGAGAAGTTTAAGTAAAATTAGGAGGTTGGCTCACAGGGTAAGGTCAAAGTTGTAATGGGAATTAGATCTCTCCGGTTGACTTAAAAAGAACCAGGAGCTTTTATGACCTGATTTTCCTCCATTACCAAAATCAGAGAAGTCTTATTTTTCAGACCCTTTGGTGATGGGAGCAAAGCACTCCAGAAGGGAAGAATCTAATACTGTGGGTGGACACATTTTTTTAAAGTTTTATGTACAGATATGGCTACTATATGTGTCTGTAGGTGTCAAGTCAAGAAAGGGAGCAGCAACAAATAAAAAGACCACCAGCGCTCGACAAAGGAAGCAAATGCCACAGAATGGAAATTATCAAAAAGATTTTCAGACACACAGCCGAAGAGCAAAGTAGGTCAAAAATATAAATTGGACCTAACTGATAGCAGATGTTTTGGGAGTACTTTACTTATTTTGTGGCTAAGTCTAGCCTTTGGAGTCAGATGCTCTGGGTTTGAATGTGAAGCCTACTACTACCAGCTGTGTGACTTCAGGTGAGCTACTTAACCTCTCTGTGCCTTAATTTCCTCCTCTGCAAAATGGGAATAATAATGGTACCTACCTCTTAAGGTTGCTGGGATGATTAATTGAGATGATGCATGTGAAGAGGTTAGTACAGATCTTGGCACAGAATAAACCCCTAAGTAAATATTACTTGTTATTATCTTTTTGACATTTGAAAAGTACTAGTCACAAGTTAATTGGCTGTTCTTCTATTGATTCAAATAAGTATGCTGAGGAGAAGGTTTATATTAATATCTGTATCCCAAATGTTTCTATTTTTGGTCCCTCTCTCACTAATGAGAATTTTATCTTTTCCTGATTGGCATCTCCCTTGCTTCTGCCTTGTCCATCTGATTCCTGATTTTTATGTTACAGAATTCAGAGAATGGTCATAGATAGACAGGACTGGAGAGAAAGGAGAAAGGGAGGAGGTTTCTTTCTGCCTGGGGCTGTAATGTGCAAAGTGAAAAGAAATTTTAAAGAGAAGTCAGAGAGATCAAGTTGGTCAACATAATAAAAGCTGAGAGGGGAGAGAATCAGAAAAGCGCTACAGCTGGGTGTCTGAGATATTTGAGGGCTTTGTTGAATGAGAGATTCTGGATGAGCTGGAGGATTGTAAGGTAGGAAAGGGAGAAGAGAATTTTGAAGATTAATATACTGAGTTATGAATTGGGTTTGCATCAAGAAACACAAGTGAAAATTGAAATCCTTTTCATTTAGTTTGGTTGCTGCACTGTGCATTTTTAAAATATGAATCTCTGAATAGATTGGGCTACATGGGGCTTTAAATTTGTTCAAGTTTCAGAGACAAACCATTGACTGGTTAGAAATATAACTTTATCAGATCAACTGCCTGGATTCTTTGGTCATATTAGGGGTTTTGTTTTGTTTTGTTTTGTTTTTTTGGTGGCTGGCCAGTATGGGGATATGAACCTTTAACCTTAGTGTTACAATGCTGAGCCCTAACCAACCAAGCTAAGCAGCCAGCCCTTAAGCATTATACTATTAACAGAACGATTGCACTAGCGGGAAATCATCACCATATTGGGTTTTCTTTTAAAGGTATTTGTTAAAATGAGATTTGACAGATTTTATAGATTTTTATAGATTTTCTAGAACCATATCTTTATTTCAGAGAACTTTTTGAAATAAGATGAGGTCATTTTTTATATGAATTTGGAGACAGCAAGCTTTAGAAAGGAAAACAACAATCAATCAAAAACAGTAAACTCCAGATATAACACACATAAACACCTGTGCACACAAACATACTGACAATCTGGACTTCAAAACTTAATCATGAAAAAATAGATCTCTGAAACAGGGGTTTAGACCCCCTGAGACTCATCTATGGACCCCATGTAATGAAAACCTGGCTCTAAAGATTACTCACTGGTATATTATTTTTAAAATATAACTTCACTCCATATATGTTTCTTTTAAGCCACTGAGGATTGTTGGCTTCTCGGTGGAAGCAGATCTTTTATTTCCTGATTATTTCTCAAATGTATATAAATTTTCAGTGAAAATTCAGTAATTATTGCCATTAGTGAATTGACAATAGTTGTATGGTCCTTAGGTGACCACTATAAAACCACTGTGTCTTGTCTGTACGGATCAAGAGACTCATTTCTATAAGCTGATTGATGCTTTTAAGCCCAGGAGTGTCAGGAGAAGGGCCAGGTCCTCTGAAATGGATCCCTTCCATCAAGGGCCCTTCTTGATAATCAAACAACAGAAAATCCACTTGTGTGTTTGGTTTTTTTCCATGCTTTATTATTTGTGTATTTTATGCATTTTTTCCAACTCCTGGGTAATATAGTTTTTAAACTGGTTTTAAAAGTTATAATAGTAATACATAGTAATAGTAATTTTATAATAATAGCAAATAATAGTAAAAATTTCAACCATACAGAAAATGTAAAGTGAAAAGTAAAAGACTACCTCTTCACCACACTCCTTTCCCACACCTTAAAAATAACTACTGTTAATATTTCTTATGATATGTTGCTTTGTTGCTTCACCCCCCCATGATTTATCACCCCACTTCCCCTGGGTGGTGGAGACGCAAAGGATTACTCAAAGCCCATCTCTTCTGAGCAGTGAGAGACCCTGAAATGGTTAATCTCCTGCTGGAACCCTCAAGCAAGAGGCATCCCTTCCTTGGAAAATTAACCCCAAATTGGGGTTCTCTTCCTGCATTTATTTTCCAGACCAGGAGGTTACAGGAAGAGAACATAGGTGGGGTTATAGTTTAACAATATAGGCTGGTAACTTTCAGTGAAACAAACCAGATGACATTCCATTAGACAATTAAGTGATCTTACAGTAATTTCTCAGTATCTTTACATAACAATCACTAACTAGTCTGTCCTTGAGCCAGCAACCTTGCTGTGCCACAAATCTTTATCTTACACCAGAGACTTTATAGCCTGAGGAAAATTTCCAGTCCTCTGCCAGGTCAATATTTGAAACTGCAAGGCTTTGGAAAACCAGGCCCTGTGAAGTACATATGCTTTATAGTATATTCCACAGTGATAGTAAAATATTTGCTACAGATAAATGTATAAATATACATATATAGTTTCATTGGCTTGTTAGAACTTTTAATTAAAGAAATAAATATTTTACTAAATGGATGAAAAATATGCTTCCACAGTTTGATGTTTAAAGAATTTTTTCATTTTATATATTTGGGCTTAGTTTTTTTCTTTAGGATTTGTAGATATTATGTCTTTTTTTTTTTTTTTTTTTTTGGCGAAAAAAAATTTTTTTATTTCAAAATTAAAAAAAAAACTTTTTTTAAAATTTTTTTTTTTTTTTTTTTTTTTTTTTTTTAGCTGAAGAACAACTTTTTAATCTCAAGATTAAAAACAATACTTTATTCAGAATTTTCTGTTTATTTTCAGCCACTGAATTTCTTCATAAAGTAAGGAAAAATTATAAAAACAAACAAACTAGGTTTTCTGGGAAATAGTTTTAAAGATTTCTTTTTTATTGTACTGGCATTAGTAGATGATTTATTAGTCAAAATAGGTGGGAACAGCATCATTTCCTAGGAAAATGTCAATACTGGTCACATTACTAGGAAATGAATTTGGAATGGACAGGAACATACCAAAGAGCTAGCAGACACCAGACTGCAGACACCGGACTTCCTGAGTCCTGGCTGGCCACTTAATAACTTGGGTGAGTTACTTATTCTCTCTATGCTTCAGTTTCTAATCTATAAAAAGAAAATCATAAGAATACCTATCTCATAGAGTTGTTAGAAGGACTAAATGAGTTAATATATGTGTAAAGGCTTAGAAAAGTGCCAGGACCATAGCAAGCACTAATATAATTACTCCCTTTATTACTGCTCCTGAAGAATTCACAATATCATGGAAGGAAACAAGACAGAGAGGGGAAAATTTATGTTTAAATTCAAAGCAATATATCAGAAAGTCAAAATGATATGCTACAAGCATAATACATTCATGCTAAGGGGCCCAAAACTGATTTGGTTTGGGTAGAGTTGGTCAAAAGAAGTATAAGTTTGTTATTATTTTTTTAATTTGGAAATAATTTCAAGCTTAGAGAAAACGTTGCAAGGAAAGTACAAAGAACCTGCATATTCCTTTTACCCAGATTCACCAATTGTTAACGTTTTGTTCCATTAGCTTTATCATTGTCTCTCTGTCTCTCTCTCTGTATGTACACACTTTTTTTCTGAGCCATTAGCAGTTATATACACCTTACCACTTTACCTCTCTGTACTTCAGTATGTATTTCCTAAGAACAAAGTCATTCTCTTAAATAACCACAGTACAGTTACCAACTTCGGAATATAACATTGGTACTTCAATCTCCCATCTACATACCAATTTTGTCAACTGACCCAATAATGTCCTTTTAAAGCATTTTTTCCTTGTGTACAGGATCCAGTGTGGGATCACATATTGCATTTAGCTGAGAAATATAACTGGATTTCCAAATCTATCAGAATAGTTCCATGGAAATTTTTTTGTACCTACATTCATCTAATCCATTTTAGCAAGTTAGTATCTGACATGTGACCTTAACTTCCTATAGACTGAAAGCTAATGTCTGTGTCTATGTTAAATTGATGTCTTGATACCCAAATCATCTTTTTATTCTGCAGGTCACTTAGAAACTTGGAATTGAACCATGGAACTTCATAAGTTTCTGGGAGCAGACAAGAAATATCATCTTAAAACTGCAGCTCTTGCCAGCACATTTTTCTTTACAGTTAGCTTTTGATGCCAACTCCATTGAAATGTTATTTTTGATGTTGAGTTTTCTTCTCTTAGAAGCACATTGCACAGCTACATTTTGATAAGAAAAAAACGTGTGCATCTTATGTCACTTCATTGTGACTGGAATACTTTTGGAAAATTCAGAGAGTATATAGTGTTTCTGTGTCAGAGCTAGCTGGCTTTGTAGCATATTTTACAAATGTGTAGCATTGAATATTGCACGGTGGTGGAGTAGGAGTCAGTTTTCCAAAGTTTTAATCCAAAATAAAATTGATATGTCATTGATTGCCTTTACTATGTTCACATATGGGAAAAAATTCAAATCATTTCAATAAAGCATTAAAAGAAAAATGCGTGCAGGCTTGCTCTCAGCAGAATATAGGGACTACTAGGAAAAGAAAATGTTATAGGTTTTTGGTACCTTTCCAAAAATGCTGGTTAGGTGCGTGGCTTAGCCTGTCAATGTATGTAATAGCAATTTGATAAAATGAATGTCGGTACAGATTATACCTTTCTTAAGGTTTTGGTGAATCATCTTTCTGCAGAACAGTTTTCATTGGCATGTGCAAAAACACGCATTGGGTTTGTTGACTTCTGCTGAAAATAGTGGTGTGTTCCCATGTGGGCTTGTGGCTGGGGATACCAATGCAGACTTTTCACACTGAGTTTAATTACGGTTGTGACAGATTTACCAGTAGACCTTCAGCATTAGACAAAGGAGGGTATCAGTGACCTGAGGTCCCTGCATACACTGCCAGATGTCCAGCATCATAAAACTTTGCCCAGTTTTCTTTTGTCTAGCTCTGCTAGTTTTGGGGAAATTTTTTTTCTTTGTGGCTATTACTGTCTCTCCTTTCACCATCTCTATATTTGCTTTATGTGCTGCCTGAGGATTTTCACAAATGGCATTGTGAACATACTTCTGGCTGTGGTTGGAGACACTTTTAGAGTCCCTCCATGGGTCTGAAGCACAAAAGTATTCAATTTCATTTTTCTACGTACATATGAGATGACGAAAGATGATCTGGGGTTTGGAATTTTCCTCTACCCCTGCATATCTGAGGAGTACTTCTAAATCAATAGGTTGGCAGCGATGGTTAATGCTCTTCAGGCAGTCACTGGGGTTCAATGAAACAGTGACACTTTGGGGAGAGAAAACACAGGCAAATTGTGCTAGTTTTAAAAACAAAAAGCAGCCCTAAAAGATAGGTGGCAGGGGCAGGGGAATGGAAGGATCCTGTGTATTTTCCTGCTCTTTGAATGTCTCACAGACTCTCGAGAAATCTCTTTATTTTCAGCTAAAGATGTGTTTAATCTCAAGACAAAATATACCTATTTCCAAAATTTACCACTTTTACCAGCAACTCAAAGTCATACATTTAAAAATTGATTTTATTATTTTTCATCTCATTAATGTAACATATATTTATAACAGGAAACTAAGGGAATAGAAAGCAGAAAAACAAAAAAATTAAAACATAAAATTAGGACCTATAATCTTGCCATTCATTGATAACCATGATTGACATGTTGATGTATATACACAGTTCTAATCTTTTTTTCCCTACATAAACATATGCAAAATCTTTTTTATCAAATCCATATCACACTGATGAAGTAATTTAAGAAATGTAATTATCTTTCAATTGGAAAATTTTTTATTTGGGATATTTTGTTGCCCCTTTGCACTTCGAGTTTTTCTGGAACTCATATAATTCTCATGAGTTACCTCCGATGGAACCACCAACCTCCATCTCAGCAGTTTCCATAGGCAAACATTGCAAAATGCTGGGCATGTAATGTATTTCCAGCGAGCTGCATAGGATGAGAAGTGCGCCCTTTGTCTCCAAGGTCATAATGGCTCTGCTGACTTCAATGCCTTTCACTGGAGCTAGTGAGGACAACTCGAAAATGCCAGAGAGAATGAGAGCCCCCTGCCCCATGATCTCAAATGGAAAAAAAAAAGAGAACACAGAAATCCCTTTACGCACTACCCCAGGTCCCTTTTGTGTTGTTCTTGCCAACACAGCAGCCGTCCTGCTATATATACCAGCTGCCACACTTGTCCCCATCACTCTGGACGCTGACCATCGCTGTCAACAACCATGGGGAAGGTGAGCCAATCAAGTGCCATATCATGTCTACCGAGTGTCTGCTGTGTGTGGGGATGTACCTTCCAGCTGACTGTCTGCTGTCACCTTATTTTCCACCGCAGATCACCTTCTACGAGGACCGGGGATTCAAGGGCCGCTGCTATGAGTGCAGCAGCGACTGCCCCAACCTGCAGCCCTACTTCAGCCGTTGCAACTCCATCCGGGTGGACAGTGGCTGCTGGATGCTCTACGAGCGCCCCAACTACCAGGGCCACCAGTACTTCCTGCGGCGTGGCGAGTACCCTGACTACCAGCAGTGGATGGGCCTCAGCGACGTGGTCCGCTCCTGCCACACAATTCCTTATGTGAGTCTTGCTTCAACCTAACTACTGTGAAAGCTTCAGTGATCACTGTCCATCAATTCCTGTTTATAAAAGTCAGTTTTTTCCAATTCGGGACTAATATTCACAGTAAGGATAGCAAGGCCTGACCCTCAAACATTAAAGAAAAGTGTGAACAGTAATATGTCTGTTTTTCTTATGTAAGAACATCAATATTGTTTTAGGGCACAAGAAATCACAGGAACATAGACTTTAAAATGCAACTTGGTAGCATCAAGGTGATTCCTAATTTTTAAATAAAAATCACCTTGTTCGGTAAAGAAAAAAAAATCTACCTAGATCATTCTTTTCTAGTGAAAAAAAAATTAACAGATCATGGGAGCACAATATAGGCACAATGTATTCTGACTGTATTGGTGATTTTTTTCACTACATTCTATAAACATGCTGATCTAGAAACTAGAACAATATGTTTCAGCTTGTGTGGCCTCATATTTTCCAGCAGTCATTATGAACTAGTTGTTTACAAGGGTCAGAGACAGATTGTTGATTCGGATTCACAGGACATGCTCCTCACCAAAGAGTTGCTTCCTGTTTTTTAATCAGGTGAAGCATGTGTTTATGCTTTCTGATGGCAACAAATTATGTGGTGTGGCCAAGAGATTAAAGAACTGAAATAAAATTTAGGCTAGAAAAAAATCCACAGATACACAGAGATGTAAGTAAAATAGACATTTCCTTGGGGCAAGAAACTCAAATGGTACAAATGACTTGGCAAAATATCATTTGAAAAGACATGTGAACGCAAGAGCAAATATGAATCGTAAATTATGAGTGCAAAAAGTGACTTGAAATCAAGCTTGACAGGACTCCGTTACATGAATCATATTGGAAATGAGGGTTAAAATCTTCTCTGCAAACTCACTAAGGTGGTGACAGATGGTTGCTTACAAAGGAAATGTTTTCGTTCTCTGTATTTCAACGTTTGTTTCTTACACAAGATCTCCAGTTCACTGATTCGGTCAGCTGTATTTATTTATTTATTTTTTTAAATTGAATACTCTTCCTAATTTGTTAGAACAACAATATAAAACCTGGGATTAGGGAAGAAACATATTTCACAGGATGTCTTAAATCCATGCTTCACGAAGATGCAAAAAAGGATCACTTTTACTGACATCAAAGATGCACGCCATTTATTTTTCTTCTTTTGTTTTTTGTCACAACAGACCAGCTCTCACAGGCTAAGGCTGTACGAGAGAGATGACTACCGAGGCCTTGTGTACGAGCTCACTGAGGACTGCCCTGGCATCCACGACCGCTTCCGTCTCCACGAGATCTACTCCCTCCACGTGCTGGAGGGCTGCTGGGTGCTCTACGAGATGCCCAACTACCGCGGAAGGCAGTACCTGCTGAGGCCGGGGGACTACAGGCGCTACCACGACTGGGGGGCCATGGATGCCAAAGTTGGCTCTCTGAAACGGGCCATCGATTTGTACTAGGCTGTGCTTTTCTTTTGTTATGATCCACATAGAAACACAATAAATGTGCAAATTGTGTTCCTGGCACTAAGTGGCTCTTGCTTATCTTTAAATAATAACTGAATTCTAATAAATGGTGAACCCAGGTAACCTACCTGACCTTAAAGGTGTTTGAAAAGTGTTTGGAAGGTCCACTTCCTGTTAGTCAGGCAACGGTATTTATGAAGTAGTCACTCCTGTCATGGGAAGGAGAGAGAAGTGACTGTTTCTGCCTTCCATGACCTACCTCCTGAGGGAAAAAGGAAAAATGAACATAATGAACAACTATTAGAACCCATACAAAGGAGAAAATACAGAACCTGTTATGTCTGGAACACCAGAGTCAAGGGATTGCTGGAGGGATTAGAGTAGCTGAAGTCCCAGGCAAGATTAGTCAAGAAAAGGTGCATTTCCTTCAAGACAGGAACTTGAAACAGAATGTCAAAAGTAGAGAAGGTCAAACGTGCTTGGTTAGGTCATCTGGTAGGAAAAGTGTTAACCTAAGAGTTAAATAGCCTGACTTCTTATCCTGCCCCTGCCACTTACTGGTAGAGTGACCAACTTAGCCTAGTTTTCCAGGGCCCTTTTTAGCACTGAATGTCTTCCATCCCAGAAAGCCCCTCAATTTCATTTTTTTTTTTAAATTTTATTTTGTCGATATACAATGAGGTTGATTATTGTGGCCCATTACTGAAACCCCCCTCCCTCCTCCCTCTCCCCCTTCCCACCCAACAGTATCCTTTCTGTTTGCTTGTTGTATCAACTTCAAGGAGTTGTAGTTGTTAAGCCCTCAATTTCAATTGGTTTATTTTTTTGAGCAAGTCACTTCCTATCCTCTCTGTGACTAAATTACCTTATTGAAAACTACAAGTAATAATAAATTCCCATCTTAGTAAAACCATGGATAATTGTGATAAAACTATGGGAAAAGACTGTGAACACACAGTCTTTTCCCTTTAAATTATTGTACAAATGTAAATGTGAGAAATTAATGTTTCCTTAGTGTCCCTCAAACTCATCACCACAATATGGCCATCTTTATTTTGGACTCCAATATGAATTTTTATTGAGACTCAATTATCAATGATTCTATTATGCAGAGATACTAATAAGTGCTATCCTGCATATCTCTGGAATTTCTTTCCACTATAGAAGAGCTGCTCTCCCAGAGTGTTTGTTCCTTTTCCAAATTTATATAAGCAAAAATAATGTTCTGTCCCAGTTGACTTCTTTGTAGAAATTGATAAGCTGATTCTAAAATCCATATGGGATTGCAAGGGACCCAGAATAGCCAAAACAGTCTTGAGAAAGAACAAAAAGTCAGAGTATTTACACTTCCCAATTTCAAAACTTACCACAAAACAACAGTGATCAAGACAATAAGGTACAGACATAAGAACAGACATATAGATGAATGAAATAGAACTGGGAGCCTAGAAATAAACCCATGTGTCTATGTTCAACTGATTCTTGACCAAAGTGCTAAGACCATTCAATGGAGAAAGAATAGTCTTTTCAGTAAATGGTGCTAGAACTAGTGGATATCCACATACAAAAGAATGAAGCTGGATGCCTATCTCATACCATATATCAAAATTAACTCAAAATGCATCAAAGACCTAAATGAAAGAGTTCAAACTATAAAACTCTTGAAAGAAAACATAGGCATACATCTTTTGACCTTTTATTAGGCAATAATTTCTTAAATATGACACCAAAGCACACACAAAAAATGGGAAAAAAATTATACTTCATCAAAATTAAGAACTTTTATATATCAAGGGACACTAACAAGAAAGTGAAAAGGCAGCTCATAGAATGGGAGAAAATATTTACAAACCACATATCTGATAAGGTTCTAGTATCCAGAATATTTAAAGAACTTGTACAACTCAACAACAAAAAGACAAACAATTAAAAAATGGGCAAAGGACTTAAATATACGGTTTCCAAAAAACATTTTTAAATGGTCAACACGCAAAAGAAAAAATACTCAACATCATTACTCATTAGGGGAATTCAAATCAAAACCACAATGGGATACCACTACAGGATGGTTATAATAATTTTCTTTAAAAAAAAAAAACAGAAAATAAGTGTTGGTGAGTATGTCAAAAAATTAGAACACTCATAAATTGCTGGTCAGAATATAAAATGGTGCAGCTGCTGTGGAAAACCATTTGGTAGGTGAATCAAGTGTTACAAAGCCCTTTACAGTCAGTTAAATACTGAGATCTTATAGCCAGGCCGAAGAAATCAGCCTGCCACCTATCAATCAATTGATCAATCCATTAGAATATACTAGAACTCCTGTAAGAGCCAAAGAATCTCAGGGTTGGTAGAGACAGAGCAGGATATTTGGGTGCTTAGCCTTGTGGAAATCTGAAAAAAGTAAGACATTGGACCTACTGCATCAAGGGACACTACCAAGAAAGTGAAAAGATAGTCTGAAAAGATAACATCTAAAACAAGCTATTGGTATAGAGAGGCAATTAGCTTAGCCCTGGTCACACTCTTGCCCATCCTAGACCCCCACCCTCAAGAGAGCCTCCAGGCTGTCTGTCTACACCAGCTGGCCAAGTTTCTGGGTTGTTTTTACCTCCCTCCAGTCTTCCTAAGTCACCAGGGACAGAACTAGAGGGCATCAGAACCAGTGAATGTGGTAAAGTGACCGAGAGAAAGTAGGTATCTGTGCATGTGTATGGCTTTTGTGACTTGGAACATCCATAGGCTAACATCATGTGGGAGAGTTACTGTTTTCCAGAATAGAATAGAAACCATTATTTTTGGTTTAACTGTCTTTTATGTTTCCAGAGCTCTATCTATCCACCTAATTAATTAATAATTAATTATAGGGGATAGAGAACTGTGACATGGTTCCTATTCTTGAGTTATAACCCTGGAGAGACTAAACCTGGAAAAGAAGAAGCCACATGAGAAAGACAACACGTTAGTGCTAAGCTGGGCAGTGATGAGGGGATGTGGATGCTCAGAGAAGGGAGAGAGGAGTGAGGGCTGGTTCTGAGAGGAGACTTCCTGGGAAGAAGGGCTGGACTGCCTTGAAGACTGGTGGCATTTGGCAAGCTTCAAGGAAATTCTTAGAAACAGCTCACTTCCACAGGCCCAGATCATCACAGACACCATGAATCTAAAAGGCAAAATGGAAAAAAAAATCTCCTTAAGTAGCCCTTTCAGGCTGCCAAAATTTAAGACAAATGTACCCATAGTTTTCAGGGTGACTTCTGTCTATTCCCTCTATTTCTCTACTTAACCAAAGAGTTCAACAGAACAGTGGGGATGGTGACATTTTTTCTAACTTATTCTTGATATATTGATCTTCTTTTTCCACATGGCTTCCAAGACCTCCAAAGCATTTTATATTTTTAATTTTTTATTTTAACATTTACTTGTACATATTTGTAGGGTACAGTGTGTTGTTTCAATACATGCATATACTGCATAATGATTCACTTAAGGTAGACAGCAGAGTGTTGTACCCATTAGTCCACCACTTCTCCCTTCTCCCCGCCTGCCGCCTGTGCCCCCCACCCCCGTTATTGTTCTACTCTTACTTCCGTAAGAACCACTTTTTTATTTTTTAGGTTCCACATATGAGTGAGATCATGCACATGCAGTATTTGTCTTTCTGTGCCTGGCTTACTTCACTTAACATCATGGTTTCCGGTTCCATCCATGTTGCTGCAAATGATAGGATATCATTTCTTTTTATAGCTGAACAATATTCCATTGTGAATGTACTCCACAGTTGTTGTTTTTTATCCATTCATTCATTCGTGGATATTTAGGTTGATTCCATTTCTTGACTATTGAGAATTGTACTATAATGAACATGGGAGTACAGGTGTCTTTTCAATATATTGATTTCATTTCCTTTGTTTATATACCCAGTAGTGGGATAGCTGGATCCTAGCAGAGATCTATTTTTAGTTCTCTGAGGAAACTCCATACTGTTTTCCACAATGGCTGCATCAATTTACACTCCCACCAACAATGTAGGAGAGTTCCTTTTTCTCCACATCTTCACCAGCATTTGTTATTGTCTGTCTTTTTGAAATAGCCATTCTAACTGGGGTAAGGTGTTATTTCATTGTTGTTTTAATTTGCATTTCCTTGATGATTAATGATGTTGAGCATTTTCTTGTATGCCTGTTGGTTGGCCATTTGTATGTTTTGTTTTGAGAAATGTCAGTTCGGGTCCTTTGCCCAATTTTAATTGAGTTTTTTTTGTGTGTGTGTGGGGGGGGGGGTTTGCTGTTGATTTGAGTTCCTTGTATATTCTGGATATTACCCCCTTGTCTGATGTGTAGTGTGCAAACATTTTCTCCCATTCTGTAGGTTGTCTCTTCACTTTGTTTATTTTGTCCTTTGCTGTGCAGAACCTTTTTAGTTTGATGTCCAATTTGTCTATTTTTGCTTTAGTTGTCTGCGCCCTTGTAGTCTTATCCAAAAAAATGCTGACCACTCCCACTTTGTGTAGCATTTCCCTTGTGTTTTCTTCTAGTAGTTTCATAGTTTTGGGTCTTAAATTTAGGTCTTTAATCCATTTTGAGTTCATTTTTATGTATGGTAAGAGATAGAGGTCTTGTTTCAGTCTTCTGCATGAGGATGTCCAGTTTTCCCAGAATCATTTGTTTAAGAGACTATCCTTCCCCCAGTATATACTTTAGGCATCTTGGTCAAAAATCAGTTGTCTATAAGTGCATGGGTTTATTTCGGGGCTCTCTAATTCTGTTCCATTGGTCAATTTGTCTGATTTTATGCCAGTACCATGCTGTTTTGGTTACTATAGCTTTACATGTATTTTGAAATCAGGAAGTATGATGCCTCCAACTTTGTTCTTTTTGTTCAAGATTGCTTTCACTGTATGGGGTCTTTTGTGATTCCATACAAAATTTAAGATCATTCTTTCTATTTCTGAGAAGAATGTCACTGTTATTTTGATAGGGATTACATTTAGTCTATAGACTGCTTTGGGTATTATGGACATTTTGATGATGTTAATTCATCAACCCATGAATATGGCATAT